GAATAGAATAGACATAAATTACCTATGTTAAAATATCCTGTATACATTTACTATGTCAATGATATAATAATAACATACTATTATCATCTTCTTACTTATAGAGATATACTTCTCTTACTTATAGAGAAGAGAGAGCTGAGCGAGAAACTCAACAACTTTTAAAAAAAATACATATTAAAAACATACATAATACATATTATATATATTATGAGAAAAAAAGCGAAATCGTCACCTTTTCGAACCAACAAACGCGTAACCTTCTCTCATACCTCAGATGTCCGAAAGAATAAATATTTTCCGTAGAAATACGAAAAATAGTGTTACAAAAAATATTTACGAATTTGACCCAGTTAAAATTATATTTTATGAATAGAAGTGCTTTAGATATATTATATATGTGTATACATTATACAGTGTATCCCTGAATAAAAATTGGTAAGTATAGACTGCGTTCAATCCCTGCCCCACTAATCTCGCTAGTAAAGCTACAAATAAAAACTAGTTATTAATATATTTAATTGGAAGTTTCAATGATTAATTAGCACGCTTCAGAACTATTAACAAAGAATTGAATTGAATAGATTATATTTATTATCTGCGCAAGAAATACGTTATAATTTTATACAAAAGAATCTTGAAGTCACCAAACACAATTATCACGAAAACCAACTTGTATTAACTTCGTTAATGAAATGTAAACATCACAAAGACAATTTCCTAATTGTTTTCGAGTTCTCCAATATTAACTTTTATAAGATTTACATGAGATTATCTAAGAAACAAGTATTTATTTTAAATGTACCTATTATATATTAACATTTTACCTTAATTTTACTTTAGCTGTTTCTATTAGAAAATTGATTTATTGATGAAACCAAAGTAGCTGTGGTTTAAACATAAGCACATTGCTAAACACATGGCTTATATTATCTTTAGGTAACTATGGAGTAGATCTAATTATTTATAGATGTTGAGCTCCAAATTTTCTTTTAAAGGACACATAAAATGAAATAGTACACCTTATTCAATTCCTCACCACGACATAGCTATAGCTAAGCTATAAACTTATATAATTTTTATTTTAGTATTTTTAATATTTCGAAACATATTATTTTTCTCTTTTAGTAATCTTACATACGACAGTTGTTAAAAATGATACACATTTAACGACTATACTGAGTCGTTAAAATAAATATGAAATGTCCGGCTGTAGTGCTCCTTAGCAATTTCATATAAGTAGTTACGTTACAAAGGGCTGTTAACTGTTGTGTAAATTTTAGAATATGCAAAGCACTTATTTAAGGCCATTGAAGAATTTCCCGAGAGTTTCATTACACCGCTTTTGTTGATGTCTATAAATTTATAGTTTTAAATCACTTTATAACCACAGAACTACTTCCGTCAAATATTAACGAGTAAACTAACTAAATAACTTATTTAATTTCAAAATTATAATTAATGATTAGGCTTTGGAATAAGCTTATATTAACGTATAAGCTACAATATTTACCACAATATTTCTGCGGTCAAATCTAACTGTAGAATGTAGATACTAGATATGATAAATAAAAAAGGCTTTAAAATATTTTAATATATATATATATATATATATATATATATATATATATATATATATATATATCTTAAATTATCAATTAATTGTTATAATATATCTGAATTATATTCTATCTAGAGGTTATTTTAAAGCTAAATTAACTTTCGTGTCACTAATATTTTTTTATAAAGCCCATTGAATAAAAGCAGAATTAATTGTCCAATTTTAATGATTTTGAAATGTTCTGACAGTTTAATAGTTCTTGACACGTTAATTAAAATAAGTAGTTATTTTATCTGAACTCGTAGCCTTGAAAAACTGATATTTTTAATATACTTATGTCCTTAACACCTCCAGGTAAATTTCTAAGAAATTAATTAAATTTCTAAGAAACCTGACACGCCGGCGTGTCCGCGGTCGTGGAGGGATTAAAGTTTGTTGTTAAATAATCCTATTATTTGGATATGTAATTTACCCAGTTTTAAGAATGTAATCGTTCCTAAGTACAATGAAGGCAGTGAAAGAGCTGACCCGCGCTTGTTAGGTATTTGTATCGATATAAAAGCAAGTAATCTAATCTAATGGTGTACATAATTTAAGGCCTTTATGAATTTATCAGTGCAGAATACGTGCAAACGACATGCGGTCTCGATACGCGTATCGTCGGTGCGCTTATCACAAGTGGTGTACATACTGCATAGGTTCTAAACATGTGTACCAACGCGACTCTACATTTTTATTACCATAAATATATGTATTTAATCTTTACTCTATTCAAATTCTTTAAATCAGTTACACTTACTTGAACGAACTATTATCATCATCTCTTATTGGGCTTTCCGGTTCCAGTTTGATATCCACTTTGTATTTCATATATTTCACAATACCTTTAGGTGTTACGGGAGTACTTTTGTACGTGTCGAACAACATTACGAAAATGAATGACGTATATCATTAAATCTTAAATCGAAACACAACGCTTTTCCCGCCCTTTTTTCACTCAAGATGACAACTTAAGAAAACTCAAATAAGTATTTTATATCAGAAAAATAACTTATAGAATAAGTATTTTAAAATTATACATATAAATTTATTAGTATATAATTAATAATTTACATTATTGTTAAAGTGTAACACATGATATTTCAAACTTTGTTGAACAAACTACTAAAATTAAATAAAAATAAATAAATAAAAAAACTAAATCAATCAATCAATAAAAAAATCAATTTTATTGTTGAAACTAGTTGGTCTAATTCATTAGTTTTGTACCGGGATTTGCTTATTAATTATTTTATTTGTAACATTATGAATTTTTATAATAATTTTACGTTTACGTTACGTTAGAGTAAATCAGAACCGATTGAATGAGCCTAAAATAAACGCGATATAGCGTTAGACTGTAAATTCAAAACATTGAGATTTAATGAATGTGTTTGGTACGAGTACATGGCATTGTAATCGGCTTCAACGGGTTTGAATGAAAATGGTTGTATATATATCATACTGAATTAACGCGTAGGATACTTTAAATCGATATCTGTGCTTTAAACGATGCCTATTACGCGGGTGGAGGCAATTTAATATATAATTTCCAATAACTTTTATGTAACCATAATACAATAGTAGAATATAATTAAGTAGAGTATAATGTTAAATGAAATAATGTACAAAAAGAGTATCAAATAAAAATTAAATATCTACCCAAGGTAAATTATTTTATTCGATATTTCCATTAAATGCAAACAGTCACACTTATTATTTTTAGTTACAACTAAGTATACCTAAGGAAATACATTTTATGAGAATGATTTTTTTACATATATTTGCTTAAGAAAGTAATTTTATTTTATATAAAAGTACTTACATTGTATTATAAGTTATAACATATGTACACCAAAACTAATTACATATAGTTTTTTGTAGGTACTTATTGGCTAGTAGGTACATTTCTTAATTATAATTTTTTTAACATTATTTTTCAGACAGCAATTTTATTTAAATTTCAAGAAGGCATTCTGAATAAAATGTCCTATTGAAAAAGAAATATAAAATATAAAAATAGCAAGCTCTTTTATAAAGGTTACAATGAGTCTATGTTGGTGAGAATAATAAATAAAAAATTGTAATGTCGTAGTATGTGTATTATATTATAATTTAAAAAAAACTATAAATATTGACAAACACTTTTTTAAAGAATCTGTGACGGGTTTTTTTAACTATTCAGCAGTTTTGTATCGGGATATTGTTATTTAATTTTATTTGTAACTTTTTGAACTTTTATAGTAATTATACGTTTTCATTAAAGTTAGAACCGATTGAATGAGTCTAATCTTAGTCTAGTTTTTTTAATATTCATTATACATGACAAAGCTTTACTATCTCTTCCACCATAGTGATAGAAACGACATTACATTCTTGGGAATGCCTTTGATTTTCCTTAAAAGTAGGTGCGATTTCTTCCTCTAAATTATGTCTGTCTGTATATACATAATTTGCTTATATAAACATCGCTTTTTGCAAAAAATCAACCACGATGATTTTTCTTGCCATAGAATAATATAAAGGCAATAAGTGGCAAGTACTTATCCTCCAGAAGGGCATATTAATGTCCCATAAATTAATAGTACTGTGGTATATATATTAGTATAGTGGCACACGGTATATAGTGGCACAATAAATTACTTCCCATTGGATATTTTTACTTAATATATTATTATTAATACTGGTCCGCGCGTTTACACTCTTTTGTAATGTGAGTGATATTATTACACGTCATTTATACCGATTGTAAAGCAAGAAATTATTATCATGTACTGTAAGTATTTAAAACTTTTTAACAAATTTATTACTAAAAGGGCGGATAGCAAAGAAATAAATGCTAAATAACTAAAAACGATACTTTTTGTATACCTACTCCAATATTTTATTTGTACTATATGTAAATTAGAAATACTCTGACGCACGTTAATTTAGTAATGTAGTTTTTTTTAATTTTTATGCTTAGATCCTACATTTAGTACATTAATTAGAAATAATAAACGTACAGAAACAGATTATTAATTAAAACTAATTTTGTACAACTAATGAGTTTGAGTATAAGGCTGAAAGTACGGCTGTACTGATATAATAATAATAAATTATATTAAGCTAGTTATGCCATTCTATATATTTTGACAATCTTTTATATTACTTGTTAGATCAGAAGAAAGTATCTATATTAATCCTATAAAAAGTTTTTACAGTCTTTTAATATAAAAAATGGACATGTATCGCCATGAATATGGAAATTGAAACACATGAACGATAGAGTACGGATAATATTTTCATATCGTCCATTTGCGGGAGCGAAGCACTAAAAGCAGTAAAAAAACAAACAAAGACTTGTCATTAATACAATAACTTATCACTTATGTACCTAAATAAGTATTCAGATAGTATTTTAACCAAAATGGGAGCGAATTGATACAGCTCTCGCTGGTGGCGCGGGTCTATTTATAGTGGATGTTTTGCACTGTCTCATTGAAGTGCATGAATTACATTTGCCGGGTTGTTTACTGCTGTCGACACTTGTGAAGCCGTCATGAATCGTCCTGCATTTACATCTGGATAGACTTCTTTGACCCATTGACCCGTTCATAGCAATCATCTCTGTAAACATACATGTTACAGTAACCATTGTTTTATTACCAAATTATTTATTTAAATTATTTACTACATTACGAACTTACCATCGCTTCGCTCGGATGCGTCTTAACGGTACCTAAAATAGACTAGGACCTTTTTTTTTTAACGTTGGGAAATGCATTTACGCACGAAGTGTGGGACTCACCGGCGAAGCCAGTACTACCCACTAAAACCCAACAAAACCTTCCCCCGTCTTAATGGGGCGTCGCAGGATCGCTTACGCATTCAACTACGACGCCCCGACGGCAGGTCTGCCGAAGCAGACCACAACAACCATGGGGTTGCTCCACGGTCCACTCTGCTATCAGAGAAGTACCAGGAGCAACCCGCATGGTACACCACCCTCCGAAGAAGGCCGCCTCCCACCGCCCACCGAAGCGGGCTACCTCCCTGTGCGTTTCTTGGCTTCGCGAGTACACTACTGAGCCCCCCCACCACGACAAGGTGAACGCACGTTGGGGGGGGAAAATAGACTAGGACCTAGTTCTTAGTGTATCTGTGTGTACTGAAATTCATCCGAATCCAGTTCAGCCGTTTCAATGTATTGTGAAGAAAACAACAAACATACACACACAGTTTGTATTATGTACAAACTTTCCCATTTGTAATTACTAAAAAGAATTTAAAATCATTTTCTATATAAGTAATATTGTGTTAATTTAATTATACTTTCATAATTTATTTCTACAAATTGGTCATCCTTTAGAGGTTAATTTATACATAAAACGTTATTATCCCTCATTTATTTTTATAATAGTCTCAACAATATCTAGAAGGATACAAATAAGTTTTCTTAGATAACTACTAATAATAATATTAGTAGGTATCTAAGAAAACTTATATTACTACAACTTATATAATATCTAAGTATTAACTTAGATATTATGCGAACTTGGTAGTTTGCTTATCTTGCTGAAGTGTCTGCACATTAAACTCTCAACATATATTAAGTTCATTTTTCTTTTATATTACTTTAAGTCAGAAGCATTAAAATATCTTCATAAATAAACTTAATTAAAATATAATAACTAATAAGATTTAAATACCACTTAGTATCCTTTCCTTAACTCTTTTCTCTCTAAATTATACCTTCTTATACAGGAATGTAGTGAAATATGTGAAACTTTTACGAACAAGAGGTCGTTGAAACCTAAAAAATGCTTTTTCCTTTATAACAAAGTTTTTGTTTGTGCAATAATCGTAAAAAAGGTTGAAGAGATTCTGAAAGTATATTTAAATATATTAAAGAAAAGAGTATATTATGTACCTTTTTTTTTTTTAAACCCGACATTCCCCTCCCCTCCGCCTTAATGGGACGCCGCAGGATCGCTTGCGCATAACTACTACGGCGCCCCGGCGGCAGGTCTGCCTAAACGCTAGGCAGACCACCAAACCGATGGGGCTGCTCCACAGTCAACTCTGCTACGCCAGAGAGGTACCTGGAGCAGCCCCATTAAACCTAATCACCGCCCACCGAAGTGGGCCACCTCCAATCAGCTGCAGAGGACAGGGAGAGCGGCAACGAAACACCGACACTCCTCTTCCCCTGCAGCCCCACCGCGTCCGCCATCAAACGGTGGCGGCCCCGTCTAGGCCGCGGAAGGTAGGGAGAACGGCGCACCGAAATACCGGCACTCCTCTCCCGCCGCGGCCTACCCCTCCGCCGGATGCGGGCCTGCGACCACAGTCCCGCAACCGGCACCCATCATCCGGTTGTGGGACCAAGCGGTCCCACCACCGGTGGCCGCAACGTCTTCGGCTCGAGGCCTAGACGAGCGGCCCCATCCAAGCCATTTGGTCCGCGCCGGATTTCTCCGGTACCACCCGCCGCCCTAAGCGGGTGGCATTCCCCTATCCGCCACCTGGGGACGCGCCCGGTAGGAGTTGGCTTCTCCCCCGGGATATTATGTACCTACTATAATTTATATTATGAACGTTTGTGAAAAAAAAAGATTATTATTATTACAATATTATATTATTAATATTAAAGATTATTTATTACCATTAACCATAAAAAAATAAAAGGATTTATTTTGAAATATTTTTATAGTTATTATACTTTATACTTATACTTATGTTGGGACATTAATACAACACCATCTAGTTCCATGGTAAGCTACGAGGCTTGTGTTATGGATACCAGATACTTGATACACTACATATACCTATATAACTTTAAATACATACATATTATAAATATAAACACCCTTGACTGGAGTACAAACATTCGTGCCCATCACACAAATAAATGCAACCAGCGAGACTCCAACCCGCAACCGCTGGCACAGTAAGTAGGGTCACTACAAACTGAGCTAAACGTGTCATGTCAAATTATAATTTTATATATATAATTTTTTAAAGTTAATAATTTAATACTGCTAAGTAAAAGACATTATAACTATTTATTATATGGAAGTACAATTCACCTGAAAGAGGGACCGCCTCGCAGACGCTCGACCGGTGGCAGGATCGGCTCGCTTCATTATTGTTTAAACGTAAAAGTTTGCAAAGTACCTGTCAAATAGCAATAAATTCATTAAAAAAACTTTATTTTAATTTTCGTATAAGCGACGAAAAAGATAGAAACATATATATTAGTTATTATTACTGCCTTTGCCCGATATTACCACTATTTAGCCGATTTGGTGTTTTCTAAAGATTTTAAAATATGATGTAAAGAGCAATTTTTAATTGGATAAGAAACTTAGTAGATAGATACATATACATTTTTGGAATTCTTAACCTAAAATTCTTTAACTCCATTTGATGTACCTATTATTAATTTATAGGTATTTCATAAGAATTAAAACGCGCAAACCTAGCAAACGCTTACATGCGCTCGAACTACTTACTTGGTTCCAAAAATCAAAATAGATTAGAAATGAAGATTTACGTTTAAAAATGTATTATCATCACAAAGGCATTATCGACAATAGACTAGTATAAAAACTTTAAAAAACCCGACTTCCAGGCACTAAAATGTAAAAAATAAGTTTTTATTTTTCTATTTTTAGTGTAGACGTAATAAACGGGTAGTTTGTAAAAAGAAAGTTTATAACAACATATTCGCTTAAGCAATTATTTAAAAAAAAATTATTTGTTTATTTTTTAAAAAATCGCTCGACCGATTTTGATAAAATTTAAATGCGACCACCTGGGAAGTATACCCTTCAAAACAAAAAAAATATTAAATCGGTTCAGGCGTCTTCGAGTAATCGGTGAACATACATAAAAAAAAGATTTCGACGAATTCAGAACCTCCTCCTTTTTGGAAGTCGGTTTAAAAATAATAATCTGAGTGTCTATACGAGGTTCAATAGGACGAATAAAAAATAATTATTCGTCCTTTATAAAGTAAAATTATAAGGAATGACGAATAGACTAATAAATAAGTAAAATAAGTATTGCTCGTCTAAGCTCGGTAGGTTAAGGTTATTTTTTTTGCATACAGTTTCTGCACCTAAAAAATACTTATTTTACATTAGAAAACCAAAAAGAGATGAATATTCGTACAAACCGATAATTGTCGGACGAATAATATATATTTATTTTATTTATTTATTTATGTACCATAAAATATATGTTATACAAAGTAAAGTAACAAAATGTCGACAAAGGATAACTTATCTCTTTAAGACTTTTCTTCCAGAAGCCCTTCAGAAGTGAGAAAATAAGTTAATTTAGTGCGGTGTAGGCACAGTACAGCATTTAATGGAATTGAATTGAAAATTTAACCGATGATCGGACGAATAGCAACTGCCTCCTTTATTTATTATTTGCCTTTTTTATATCTTATATTATGAATATTATTAAAGTTCAAATAAAAGAAATATTTATTTTAAAATCATAAAGTCAAAATCTTGAAAGAGCTTCGAACAAATAGATGCATTACTGAATTTGTGAGAAACCGCTCTATAAATTACAATTTGGTTAAGAGCTTTTTTATGTTCATGGAAGTTTTGTACATTTAACAAAGATCACGTGTGGTAGCCTCTTCTACTGGTCGTGAAACAACATTTCCAAGGCTAAAATTTAGTTTTTTTTTTAATATTTCTAAATTATTTTATACATATAATATTTTATAGATAAATAGTATATTCCCAAAAGGTTTTCAGTAAATTAAAAATGACCCCGTATATACTCGTAGATAGATAGATGTCAAATATTCGCGTAAATCTAAGAAAGTATAACTACCTGTTTAAAGCCACTCCGATACCTAACGTTCATGTAGCAGTATATGATGGGGTTGTAGCAGCAGTGCGACATTGCCAGCCAGTGCGCCACGAACCACACGTAGGGCATGCCCGGCCACTTGCTCCACTCGACATCGTCTTCATGTGCCGTCCATAATATCTTATTTAGGAAATAAAATAAGTTACATTTTATTATGCAACTCTATTTTTAATAATAAAACAGTTTTATTTTTCAAATTGTATTATTATTTTCAAATTATAAGTCAAAGAAATATCGTCAGTTTTTTCCTTTCTATGTTTAAATATATCTACTCGTAAGAAACATGAACACAACTATGAATGTGTCGTCGAATATTAGTTAATTTATTTATATGAACTTCCTGCTTTAATTTACGTTTTACCTAATTAATTAATTTTGCTCCAGAGTTAAGAATAAGCTTAGTCATTAGGATTATTATAACGCAATATATTTAACGTAGAATGGAGAAGTCATTGAACTGATATTATAAATCTATTATAAATCTATATATAATAATCATAATCAAGAAAATCTAGTTATAATTAAGAAAAACATAGTCATCAACACTAAAAGCTTTAAAAATAAAAACTTTTTAACAAAAAAATAAAAACCGACTTCAAACAAAAGCACTAAAAAGTAAAAAATAACTGATCGGTAGTTTTCATTTACTATACATACCTAATCAAATATTTTCGAAGTCGGTGTGCTTTGCTTTGTATGGGCTGGCACCGATTTCTAAAATATTTGATTAGATATGTATTTAATAGGTAGGCTCTAATTACTTAGCCAAAGCACACCGACTTCGAAAATATTTGATTAGGTATGTATAGTAAATGAAAACTACCGATCAGTTATTTTTTACTTTTTAGTGCTTTTGTTTGAAGTCGGTTTTTATTTTTTTGTTAAAAAGTTTTTATTTTTCCCTTTTTAGTGTAGACTGTAGTAGCAAAGTAAGGATTCTAACGTGTTAGGCTTGTCAAATCAAACAAAATAAGCCCAAACTCAAAGTATCTACTATTAGCCGTTGAAGAGTTCCACCTATTTACCTTCTGGCCTTGCCATCAGATCAGGTCAACAACACCGAACCACTGTACTATCAACGGAAATAGAAATACTTGCAAAGTTTCAAGTCAATATGACAATTAGAAGTAGGTTAAATTCATCATTAGTTGTTTTTCCACCCTTAGGGGTGGTATTTTTTTTTTGAAATTTAAATGGGACCAATCTGGAAGTATACCCTTTCAAACAAAACAAAAATTGTCCAAATCGGTTTAGAAATGACGGAGTTCTGAGGTAACAAACATAAAAAAAAAAAAAAAAAAAAAAAAACATACAGTCGAATTGAGAACCTCCTCCTTTTTGAAGTCGGTTGAAAAAATTAGTTCATTTCGGTTTTAAACGGCTTTTTTCGTTTTAAACGGATTGGTTTAATTGGTTTTAAGCCGGCTTTTTATATAGATATATATACACGCCCTATGTAGTGCGGCGATTTTATCAAGAGAAGGGTAAATTTTAGTACGTTTCTGAAAGAAACTGTAGTTATATTAAAAGAAAACGTTTATAAAATGATTGTATTTATGCTACATTTTGTAACCATAAGAAGTGAGTTAAAATTGAGTTACAAGATTTGTAATTTGACGGTATTTTTATATTTTCAAAAACAATATGCCATAACATGACAAATATGTCATAGAATTTTATGGGGATGGACTATTATAGGATTCAGTTTGAAGCTACCAGATCGGTCAAGCCATCTCCTAGAAATGTAAAAAATATACAAACTGTACGAATTTTAAAAACAATATTAAAACTCTCCAATATTACGCCATGCCTAACCTCAAACAATTGTCTGTGCCTTTTTTAACCTAAATAAGCGTGTTTTAAGGAAGTAGTGATATGAAGAAACAAAGTAAAATTACGATTTTCATCACACATTTCATCTTTGGTGCGAGATGTACGTACATACATATTACGTTTCCGACTGCGTAATACTACTAGTATAGTATTTATTATAGTATGATCTGTGGTAATACCTACTATGTTCTGTCATCAACTTGTTTTCATCATTTTAGTTCGCTTTTTACGCAGTCGGGATTTTTTATTTTTATAATTTACTTTGTTATTAGATCTATGGCTTCATTATACTTCTTAAAAAAAGTTCTTTACAAGCTTATTTTAATAAGACAATCTAAACTTATTTATTTTTATTAATATTTTATATATAAGTTTTTAGGGAATACTGAAAGTTACTTGTGGCCGGATATTATTTCAAATCTTTTACGAAGTAAAGCCTTCCAATACGTTAAATACCCTTTTCTTGTTGTATCGTAAGCATAGAAGAATTTATCATTATATAATTATATTAGCATTATACTATAGGTATCTACATACTTACAATAAATATATTCAAAGGTAACCAGCACACTGTGAATACTGCGACGACTGTTAGCATCATTTTTATCATCTGTAACAAATAAACATAATTAGTTTACTTTTATTTATTAAGAAAAAAATATAATATAATTATATTATAATCATATCTATCAAAATTGATGGACATTCATTGTTTAGATCTCAAATAATATCTTAAACATATACATAAATAAGATTTTAAAAATAAGATCTTAAATTATTTTATTTTATAAAAATCAATAATATTAAGTTAAAATGTTCAAGTATCAAGTTTTGTGACCTTAAATTCATGTCCTGACTCCTAACGTTGGAATGCCTTGATCACGTTTTCAGTACTTCGATGTACCGGTGGTGAATTTTGCATTGCTGAGGAGACTGTAGGAGAGCCTACCTACATCTTAATCTAACCGAGTCATAACTTCTGGTTTTGTTAGTTTCTCAAGTGGTACTTCGCGGTCTTATGTATAACATGCTTACCATATATGTATATATGGTATTAAATAAAGCTTATTCAAAAACCGGCTCATTTTGGAGAAATTTTACTTTTTTCCAGATGAAATCCCATGTTGGGAATTAATTTAAAATCGATATACTCGTAATTATAATATCTAAAATATTACATTAGTAAGCCTTGTAAAAGGGCATCATATTAACATTTAAATATTTTTCTTACCTTTCGCTTGGAGTGTTGTATCCTGGAGTCCCGGACGGTCTCGGCCTCGCCGGGCGGACGCAGTCCCCACACGACGCCGGCGATGCGCCCATACGTGCACACGAGCGCGGCCAGAGGCAGTGCGAACTGCAGTATCAGCAACGCGCACGTATACTGCTCGCTCTGGTGCAGACTCGACCATCTTTCACTGCAGATATCCCTTGTCAAAAATAAAAATAAAATATTCATACAAATATTCTACATCGAAGAAGTACTATAGGGTAGTATTTGTTCTAAAATATCGACGTAAAATAATAGTATAGTACTGTTAAGTGTCGTTTAGTGAGGAGCATCGTGGACCGACATTCTTAATTCCTTTTACTTCCTCAAATAATAAATGGGTGGGAGGTGTCTCAGGTAGATATCATAAAAATATATGAGCAAAGATAGCTTCTATCTAAAAAATGTATACCTACCTATGATATAGCAAGAGTTTTTGATCAATGTCAAACTAGCTATCAAAAAGATCGACGTTTCTGTGCTCGATCCTCCCCAGTGGGACATTGCAAAAATATATAGAAAAGAGGCAAACATACGTGGAATTTAACTATTATTCATTTATTATGGTACAATCTTAAATTCAATCTCTTAATGTAATATTTCTATAAGTACATATTAAGAATCAGTTACCCGAGAAATTACCTATTACTACGAAAGGCAATGTGTCACGTATTACGTCGTCAAAGCATCAGCCTTATCATATTGAAACCTTTTTATCACGTATCATTTTACAACCTTTCGTCGGCAAAAATCATAAAAAGGGAAATAATTATTTTATACTACAGACATTTTTTTAAGATAAATTGGGTATATCGAGTTGTGGTCTTTATATTCGTATTTATATTATTGTTAAAAATATAAGTCAAAATATTGGAATTTTTACTTACAGACCACAAACTTGATGCCAGAGAGAAGGTTTTTGGAGTTGGGATACAACAAGTATAGGAGCAGCGGTAGCCAGCGCTCCGCACCAGACACCACACATCACCAACTTTGCTGCCGTCTTCCCGAGCCGAGGTTTCAGCGGACGCGTTATTACAAAGTATCTATCCACAGATATAGCTAGGAGAGTGTACGCACTTACTAACACTGACACCGCTTGTGAGTAGTTCACCACCTTACACATCACCGCACCGAACGGCCAGTATCTTAGAATAAGCATTGGCACAAAAGAAAATGGTATACAGAATAGTGTCATTAATATATCACCAACTGCTAAGTTCATGATGAAATAGTTGGTCACAGTCTTCATCCGCGGGGAGGAATGTACGACGAAGCACACCAGCCCATTGCCAAGTAGTGCAATAACAAATATAATACCGTACATAATGTAAACACATAGTTGGAAAATATAGACCGAGATATAATCTTCTGAATGAGGCTCATGGATGCAAACTAATCCGTGGGGCAGTGTGTAGTTGTAGTCAGTTTTATTTGATAAATCTGATCCATTGTTGCTACAATCTTCTAATGAGCAAATATATATTGGATCAACTACATTGGTCAAGTTATTCCCGGACAGCATCCTTTTCTGATCTTAAAATGTTTCATTTCTTCCTAATCTCATTATGAACAAACAGCACCTGGAGAAAAAGATTGAATTATTGAGAATATAAAATACATTTTATATCAGTAAGAACAAAACGTAATTAATAAAATAATCTAGAATGTATCACAAATTATTGTTTAATCTATACATATAATAAAACAGTCACTTAGCGAAATTGATGTGCGCGTTTCACGTAGAAAGTACTGAAGTGATTTTAACTAAACCTTATTACTCGGGTCAACATTTAGGATACCTTTTACGGAAGGATATTGTGTTACAGGTTATTGTGTTTTCCCGTAGGAATAACAGATATAGAGTCCACTACATAGTTCGGGATCTTAGACTAATAAGTTCATTATAAAATGAGCGAAGTATGGCGTAACAAAATAAATTATGCTTCGGAATTTTCTATTTTTCTAAAAAAGTATATTCAGAAATTTATTTATGTAAATTAATTATTAATGTTGTTAAAATTTTGTTATATTTTCTAATTACTTGGCATTGTTTAGAAAAGATTAAACCGAAAATTAATAATTAATTAGATAGTTAAGAGGGAAGTTTTAATTAAAAAGATAACTTGTATTATAAATTGGACATCTTTTATTATGACATTTTTCCATTATAAATCATTTTATTTTTTCTTTATATTTACAGATAGGTATATGTAATATACTATTAGGTATTATATCTAAAACATTAAAAATATGGTATTTTTTAACTATAATTATGTTCACGACGTTCAGAGTTTCTGACATTATTAAACCGAAGATTAGCCAGGTGGAAATTCCGTAATGGAATATAAGTTCGCATATAAAATGTCGATTGTACCTCCATCGCACCGTGTAAAACATGGCGTGCAGATACTATCTATTTGTTATATATGTATTTCAATATAGTTATTCAAATCTTTTCCTTAAACTATACAGTTTTCTAAATCAGCAGTTCATAATTTTATTTTTGTCACGTACCCCAAAATCATATTTTTTTCAAAATGGGGATATTTTGATAATAACTAACTAAACTGATTGTATGGTAGTTAAAATATCTTCTTTTTTGACTTAAAAGAACAAATCATAAAAGAAAATATTAATACTTAAAATAGTATTTATTATACCAAAAATATAATCTATTTAATGATAAATGATTTTTTCACATATTTATCTATAATAGCTCTAAAATTGAGATTGATGTCTGAAAAAACAACATTTTATTTAACTCACAGACGGATCTCGGAACCACAGGGACCACCATTTGGGAACCGCTGTTAGATAGGTGAATTATCTAATAATTATTATTAGACGTCAAATCTGCCTGTAGTTAATAAGCATTCTTACACAAATTTTAATTAGTTCAAATAAATGTCAATAGATAGCGTTATATTTATCAATTTAATATAGATGTTATAAAATAATATAGTTCGATATCTAACCATTATTCCAGCAAATAATAAAAGCTCTAAAAATAGTCCAAATTAGTGTTGTCCAATTTCTTGTATGGATGGGGCGGGGCATCATGTCTATTCTGTCATAAAAAGCCTTTAGACTTTTATCATATAGTTACCTAGTAGATTCTTTGTAGAAATAGTGAAAAAAATTCTCTGTGAGCGGTGAGACAAGAACCAGAGCACTGCCCGGATAGCTTTTGAAGCCATCCAATAAAACGTTAGAATCTTTAACATAATGAAACATAAAACGGATGGAGCAGTACTATACTTATTTTTTTTAAAAGCTTCTTTTTTCTATAAATAAAAAAATAAATAAAATTAAGTAATATATATATATATATATATATATATATATATATATATATATATATATATATTATTTTGATATTAAAATATAATTAAATATCTTTATTTTCGCAAGAATTAGTTGTATAATAATTTTACTAGGGAACAAATTACAAAATCTTTAAAATATTATAATAAGTTTTCTAAACAGCGAGCTGATGTCCAAGAAGCAACAAACATAGATATGTATATTATAATAAATTAAATATTATTTATTATAATATAGGTAATGGACGACGGGCGACTCCATTATAAAAATGTTGCTATGTCACGTGTCTAATTTCGTCGAGTATCAGATCTCTGGGCTAATATTGATACGACGCCTTTATATCTAGTTTTATTATTATTTTCTATTTAAAGATTGCTTACCCTGACTAATTTATCAGATTTAAAAAAAACCCAGAACGGCTAATATATAACAGTTTATACATCAAATAATACATCTAATATGAAAAGGTAATGTAAAGGTTTTGTCCACAATTTTACTATTTGATAAAATAATAAAAGACGTATTTCTGCGTTATCTAAATTCAAATACTTAAGAGAGAAAAGAAGATAATTAGGAAATGTCAACAAAGAAGTGCACAGATATATTATGATCTGGAAAAGCAGATAGGTTCAGCTACAGTTATTACTAAGCGCAAAAGGCAACTAGGAACGCACCCAAATGAAGTGAGGATAAGTAGGGTAAGTACCTTAGGGGTACCTTACCGAGTGAGGTGTCACTTTATCATTAAAGGTTAATAAATTCAAAGTATTAATTTTACCCATTGACAGTTATTAAACTGAGTTTGTTTGTAAGAACTCTTACCCCTTGAGTGAGTAACGGATTTTGACACGCACTCAGAGAGAACGGAGGTCTTTTTATTCCAGTCCATCAAATAATGCCCGGGGATATTTGCATACTTCTATGATAGCTATCATTATTTAAATTTTATTAAGGACAGAAGGAATGTGTAGGTACTGCACAAATTAACTAAAAAAATTATCTAATAGTTTAATTTCGTTATTTTATAGCCATGTTTAATCGCAAAATGTGTATATTATATTTATGAAAATTTGCTTTCTTCACTGTAAATGCTAAAGTAATTTTTCTGATGTAATAACTATCCAGAGTGACAAGAAGACGTAACATAAGTTGATTATATAAAAATTGTACTTGATATACATACTTGTTATACTTGACATACCTACTTGATGTAGACAGGGAAAATTGCTTTTCTATCGATAAAACGCCTCACCAAAATTCGTGTAATTCAGTACGAAATAATAGACATCTCAACATGCGACATCCATCGCTTAAGTATGCTTACAGAGTGGATTGTATTTTTGTATTTTATACATATGTTTTGGACTATCCAAATATATCCAAAGAATGATCATTGGATGTCAAAAATTGAAAAACGTAAAATAAAAAAAATAAAAGGCAGCAAAGGAAGATAAATGTAAGAAACCACAGATTGTAAAACAAGAAGAAAAAACTAATAATACTGAAAAAAAGAGTGTTAGAAAACGTAAAGCAATTCGTCGCATCTCAGACAGCAGTTGCGAAGAAATACCAATAGATAGAATTCGCGATTCCTCTGGTTGTGAAGTAGACGAAAATGAAGTGGACAACTGCCGAGGATGCGGCGAGAACTATTATAAGATACAAATAGATTGGTTGCAATGTAATATTTGCAAGCTGTGGGTGCACTAAAACTGCACAGAGTTTGAAGACATGTGCTCAAACTGCGGAAATAAAAAGAGAGAAGGTTAGAAACAGGAAGTGCAAAGAAAAAGTTAAAAATATACTGGCCATCTCCCCCCGAGCTTGGGAAGGACATAGAATATTTTTTATCCCGGAAATCATCCCTTAAGGGGTTGAAAATGGGGATGAAAATTTGTATTAGGAGCAACCTAGGGACGAACCCTAACGAAGCGAGGGTGAGTCGCTAGTGTTATATAAAGAAAAATATACTAAAAACTTCTCTTTTATTAGTTACACCAAAAATCAGGCTCTGAAATCTAATTATATTGGGCTAGTCAAATGAAACCAAATAAGCTCAAAGTATTTACTAGTAGCTGTTAACGAGTTCTCTGTACTCGTGCTATCCAACAAATACCAAATGACTATATTATCATCAAAAATACAAAAACTTACAAAGTTTCAAGTCAGAAGTAGGTAAAAAAGTTTATGTAATTAGATCTGGTTTATTATATATATTTTTTTGATTTTCTCGACAAATACGGAACCACCTCGGGATCTACTTTAATAGATTATAGTTTAATGTAGCAAAATCGGTCTAGCTACCTGCGAGAAATCGGTGAACATAATATATAAAAGAAAATACAGACGAACAAAGAACCTCCTCCTTACTGGAAGTCGGTTAAAAAATAGAAAATATGCATGACAGGATGGTTTTTAAAGGCAGTAAATATGACATAATTAAAAACAAAATATTCAGATTTTTTCCTGTCATGCATATTTTTTTCTTCATTTAACGCAGTAGGTGTCGTGGGTTTTCTAGTAAAATATATTTTCAATCTTAGTATATTGGATTTCTACAGACGTTAACATGCCAGCTGGTTCCATCCTCTCGAAGGCAGGTTTAATATTTAACTAGATCTTTTTACTAATATTGTTTTTCTCCAAGTTTCCTAAACAAATTTATCTTGTTTGTTCACAGCGTTCCTTTTAATCTAGGAATAATTAGATTTTGTAATTATTCTTTAGTCATAAGAACAAGAATTATAAATTCTTTTTTCTTAATTTTTAATCTTGTATAAATTTGTTTTTAGAAAAAATAACACATAACAAAATAATTCCTAAATGGAAAATCGAATTATAAATGTGATTTATAATACAAAATAATGATACATATTATATATTTAGATGATAAAGCTTTTATTAGTTATTTTTAATTAATGTAAGAAGCTTTACAAAATAGCCATTTTGTCGTCTACCAATCAGTTGGAGATGCAGGATATACCCAAAGGTAAAGCTGAGTAGTTTAATAATACCAGAGGCATATAATTTTCGTCCATTTTCTCTAATATTGTAATTATAATACTGCAATTTGACGAGTCGTGGAAAAAATAATGAAAATAGGAATTTACTTACTTTACTTTTGTATTTTTTGCCGTAGAACCTAGTTATATTATTATTTTTACCAATTTATCGATATTTTATTGGTTTTTGATCGAT